TTGATTCTGTAATAAAGAACTGAGTTATATATGTATAATTACGGCTATTTATCTTACATTGTGACTTTTCCTTTCTTTCACTTTAGAGAATATGTCGTTGGCATATATCCTAAGTATTAGTGTAGTTGTTTTTCATAGGAAGAAATAATTAGGTTTCTTTATGAGGCATGGAATGTGAAGACACTTACATCATTTACGGTGTTTGTACAGCTAGTGTGAAACAAGATCATGTACTTATTTAACTGATATCTTGGTTATGCACTGACTTGTTTGTGCCTATACTCATGTCTTTTTTTTCTCTTTTTCATTTATCTATTATTCACACTTTTATTATCCCTGTCACTATTCCTCATGTTGTTCTTTGAGTTAATACATAAGAGAATGATTACTATGTTTTATATTTTGTTTTCTATCCTTTTCTTTCTTTCTGCTTCTACTCGAGTGCATAGATTATATTTTGAATGCTACACCATGTTCTATTTTGATCTATTTTTTTCTCTCTCTTCTGATACTGCATTCTGTTTTCTTCTCTCCTGCTAGACTGTTGTTGAGGCTTCACTCTCTGCTTACCTTAATTTTATGAATAACGACGGTTCCAAGCACTCGCCTTACCTATGCCTGTGTGTGATCTATTTTTTTCTCTCTCTTCTGATACTGCATTCTGTTTTCTTCTCTCCTGCTAGACTGTTGTGACCTGAGGCTTCACTCTGGGGCTGTGTGACTTGACAAGGATCAGGTGCATTACCTTAATGCGGGATTCTTGATACCTTGAATAACGACGGTTCCAAGCATCTCGCCTTGATGAATTACCTATTTGTTGCCCTAATGTGATAATTATGTTAGTGTGATGTATGTTATATATTTCCCTGACTGGCTTCAGTTATGTATTCTTAGTATGTGAAAGTTACTTTGATGTACAACTTTTCTTTTTCTTTCTCTCTCTCTCTCTCTCTTTTTTTTTTTTTTTTTTTTTTTAGTGTTATTGTATAATTCACCCAGATTTTACAATATTTTGTGTAGTGACATATTTTTGGTGTATTAACTTGCATGATTATCTGACATATGACAAGCAATATAATAATGTATTACAAAAATGCATGGCACATTTTTTGGTGTGTGTCGCCTTGTGTATAGCATGAGGTAAGCTTGTTGTCAAATAACACCCTAACCTTTGACCTATGCTGACTTGTTGTATGACAGGTTCAGTCTGTTGCACTTACTTGTAACAGGTCTTTTGAAGTGACATGTGTGAGATGTATTATCCAAGTGTGTTACAGGCATATTGGCATCATAAATAACAAGTATATTATTTTGATATATGACATTTGATGACTTGAAGACAGGTGTATAAACTAGTCAACCTTGTTCTCAGAATTTGTTACTGGCATGAATAGCATCTTCTTGACTGATTGGCAAAAGCAATTGTGCATTAAATTTTACTTGTGATAGTGCTTTTAAGGTGTAGAAGATATATTCAAGACAACCCATAAATGATTTTCTTCAAATATTTTTTTGAAGGTCTTTATACTGCATAATATTTTATTAGAATATAAGAGTCTGTAATGATATATAGTGACGGCTACATGCATGGAAAGTTCAGAATATTTCTGTTGAGGGATGTTAGCAATACTGAAAAAAAGAAAAAGAAAATTGATACTAAGAATGAATACCCTTTATAATAACAGTTATTGTCTGAAGCTTATCAGTATCAACCAAATAATCATATTTAAATGTGTAACTATGCTATCATAATCTTCCATAGT